GTTAAGAGTCCAGGTGGGACTGTTGATAAATCGCTAAGTGATGGCAACAAGCTATCAGTTAAGAGTCCAGGTGGGACTGTTGATAAATCGCTAAGTGATGGCAACAAGCTATCAGATAAGAGTCCAGGTGGGACTGTTGGTTAAGCGCCAAGTAATGGCAACAAGTTATCTGTCCAGGTGGGACAATGAGTTACCCGTCCAAGTGAGACGATGAGTTAGCCGTCCAGGTCGGACGATGAGTTATCCGCCAGATGAGGCGATGTGTTGATTACAACAAACTTAAAACGAAACTTTTGTTGAGTGGTGTTTGTCAGGGACAGAGTTTGAGTTGATAGTGTCCTGGACAAACTTGTAATAGTTATAAGAATTGACAAGAAATTAAACCATATGTGTATCGAAATATGTTTAATACAAAGATAAATTGTAAAACTAAAATATTTAACGACATTGGATTAAAATGTTTTTAAATAAAGTTACAATAATGAAAATGCCTTGTGAAAGATTTATCTGATGCACGAGGTCGTGCACAAGTCAGAATGGCCGTGTCGTATATGTCATAAATTTCTCCCAGGGTAGGTTGATATAGAATGCACAACTCCATATGAATTGGAACACAGCAAATATCCGAGCTGTTGTCTCAATTGCGAATCCTCATTTGTGTTCACCAACTTGCTATCCTACCTCCTCTAATGGTGTCGCCTTAATTGTTGAGTTCGTGAGAGTACACTATACCCGTTCACGCACGGAAAACTGTAAGAGCGAGACAAGCTGCGGCTGAATGTAGTCCTGAGTGTTGATGAGTGTTAAAGAGTGAGTGAAACAATAATGTTTGTGTATGAAGCTGAAGTTCTACTTTCCGAGTGTATTGGTTGAATGAATACACTCGGCTGAAGAACAAGGCAGTATCCATTTGATAGCGAAGGATTACACAACACTCAGGAATTCATTGTTATATGGCCAGTGCAGCACGACACCATTGGCATGCAAAATGGAGGATACAAATAAAATTACAGACATGGAAGCTACTCCGGCGCAATTGGAAGTGGGAGCTATTCTCCCACATCTTGGAGCTGCTCCGGCGGTGGAGGTTGCTCCGGTTGCTATTCCGGCAGCACAAAACACTACTCCGGCGGCACAGAATGCTCCGGCCATGGAGGTAAACCCGACATATATGTATATGTGCATACGTCAAAGTTATATGTTTTTACAACATATGTTTATTTATTTGTTTTTACTAATTTTCTTTTAAAATATAATTCAATCTACAACAGAAACAGCATAAATAAAAGTTTAAAATCAGAAAGTAATCAAACTTTTTTAGTGTAATGAAGTACTAGTCTCAAATAGCTAAAGAATGACATTTATTTTTTAGAATTTCTTTCGTGGAGGTTGTTGCGAAAATTTTTTGTTCAGTGAAAGCCAATCAAAGCAGAAATCTGCGCCGAATAATGCTTTGACGGCGTTAAGAAAACCTTACAAACATATCGCGCCAAAATTATGTACTAATAAAATCTTTATTAGAGAAATTTTTATGGGCAGCCAGAAAAATATATTTTTTAATTTCAATATCAAAGTTTTAAACCAAACAAAAATCCCCATAAAATCCCCACATCCCCAAACGAAAAAAACTATCCCCAAATGGTTTCATAAATCCCCAAAATGGGGCAAAATCCCCACATCTGGCAACTCTGGGCTGCTAGCGTCGCGACAATTCGGTAGCTTCGTACACACGACTTGTACGTGAAAACCGAGTGGCTCCATTTGGCTCACGTGTGCACCACTGATCTATGCACATACGTATCTATGCACATACATACATATGTACTTAGGTATCTATATCAGCATTTTAGTTGAAAGTACGTTTTGCTCGTCGCTCTCTTCAAGGCTCCACTACATTCCTGTCCTTAGTTTTATTCAGATACCACAAATGTATGTTTTCTTCGAAAATACTCAAGTACTACCAGTAGAGTACTCTACTTGCAAATATCTTTTACTCGCAGTAGTAGCGGAAGGCAAAGTAAATACTCTACGCGTCTTGCTATTGATCGGCAGTTTATTTACGCTTGCAGAAACTGGTTTATGCTTACTCACACTTGACCGGAAGGATGAGAGTAAAGGAGGGAAAGTATTTGCGCGGCGATCGGATGTCTTGTTAGGCCGTTTAAATGGAATTGCGCAGAAGTTTAGTATGTATGTATATACCAAAGTTGAGCACATCAGACTTCGGCACATAACTCGAGAATGGATGGTCCACTTTGAGCTACATTTTACGACAAATAGAAGCATTTGGAGCTTACCTTTCTTTCGCAGTTTTGGCCCGATTGCTTTGAACATGGTATTTCGAATTTTTTGATGATGCACTTTTAATGTTCTGGGGAGATTATGCCGCCGTCAGAGTATTAAACATTGGCTTACACAGTCGCAATTGGCGATTCGTGCTGGTCTAACTCAGGAAGAATAAAAAGGACACGCAGCTACTGAACGACTGAGGCAGGGAACGTGATCTACATCGTCAAATGAGTAGTGCCGTAAGTGCGCAATTACATCGCGCCATTGACTAAACCGAGCTATCGTGTGTTACGATTGGCCCCATGGATGCGGTTTGCCATTATATTGCGTCAAAGTCTCATTCGGGGACATCAGGGTTGTGTTGTGTAGGTCAATACCTAAATACCTTCGTTCACTCATTTACCAGAACCATTGCGCGCTTTACTTTACAGCGAATTGACAGAATCAATAGGTATCCACGAATGTCAATTAATACAACTATTCGGCAATTAAGGGAATTTCGACTCTCTATCTTACATTGAACTTCTGTAGGCCAACGATTGTAACACATTTTGTCTTGTTGTCGCCGACGAATGCAGAACAAACATTTCTTAAAATTTAAAAGGTAAAAATTTCACTACTAAAAATTTAAAAATGTTCCTAAAACTTGCAAAGAAATTTCGAAAAGAAATATCACAGTCATTGATAAAATTAGAGCGAGAGAAAGTTTTACTACCAAGACCTTTCATTATTGAATTATACGTATTTTCCACGTAATTCAAGGTAATTAAGTGCAACGAGTTTGGTATAAACTAATACCAATTCACCGGATGTCGACAATCGTGCACCCTACGATGAAGTTGTCGAAAAGCAACTCAGATATATTCTACGATAACCTGCTGAAGGGTTACAAGAGATCACACTACCTGACTCTGCACCAAATGTCGATAGTGAAACAAGCACAGTACACCACATTGCAATGGTCGCCCAGTCCACGAGCGCCCACGCAGACTCACTGGTGAGAAACTAAACGCCGCAAAAGAAGATTTTAATCTCTTGTTGCATCATGGTGTTATAAGACCTTCGAGCAGTCAATGGGCAAGTTCCATCCACATGGTGCCCAAAGAGTCCGGCGGCTGGCGCACGACAGGAGACTTTCGGAAGCTGAACTCGCAAACGATACAAGATAGCTATCCCGTTCCGAAGATATCTTCCAACGATTTTACAGCAAATCATTGTTCTCAACAATTGATTTGGTGTGTGCATACCACCAAATCCCTGCAGCGAAATACGACATAATTAAAACTGCAGTCACGACTACTTTTGGGTTGTTCGAATTTTTGGGAATGCCGCCTGGCCTTCGGAACGCTACTCAAACTTTTCAGCGGCATATGGACAACCTTCTAAGACATCAAGACTTCGTAGCTTGTTACATAGATGACTTTATTGTCTTCTGTGAAGTAGTCTACTTAGGCTATTCTGTGAGCCAGCATGGTTACCAGCCTCCGTTGCTGATTTGCCCTGATTCCTCGGCATTGTGAATTATTGTAGGCGTAGTTTACCTTACGCAGCAGAGATTCAAGCACCCCTCAGTGAGTGCCTGAAAACAGCGCCCATCTCGCTATAAATCCTTTGGAGAAAACATAAAGCCAATGTTTTTTACCGACTTAATGTTTAAAATTATTAATTTAATTTTCCGTTGTCATCGAACAAGAATAAAGTAAATGTGAAAGAATTGTTCAGTGATTGCAAATCAGTTTTGGAATAGAGAATGAGGTAGTTTAGTACTTTTTTAAAGGCAGTAAAATGTAGTTTTTTCAAGAGGGAAACATCGATTTAGCTAAGGGAGCCAAGATGGCGGATAGAAGCGAGAACGCTGTCAATATCCAACACCTTGTATTATTCCACCATGACTAAAGTTTCAGTTTCATTCACTGACATGTTCTTAATTTTTTCCACAAATTCAAATGAATTTTTTACTGAAAGGTTTTTTATCGGTGTGAAATCCTTAATTTCCTTCAAAAGCCAGTTTGCAGTTTTGTGACATGGTGTGTTAGTACACGGAATAATGGGCCGCATCTTATTACCTTCTTTGTGAATTTTCGGTAATGCATGAATACGTGCTACGCACGGATTTGATACAATTAGAGAAAACTGTAACTTCGTACCGAACACTTTTCCTATTTCTTTTCTCACTCGATCTGCTTCTTCTATCATTTTGTGTAAGGGGTTTCTTTTTACTTATTCATAGGAATCACTATTTAACATTTAAATGACACTTTTATCATAATCAAGTTTGTCTAAAATCACAAGTTTATTTCCCTTGTCGGCCTTCACATAGCACACGTCTTTTTCTTTAAGAGAAGAGATGACGTCACTGGTTTTGTTTTTGATTCTCTTTTTTACCTTCATGAGAAATGGGCGCGTAGATAGCAGCATATCAAATGGTCTGAACCTAAGCATAGTTTCAATGTCAATAACCAAATCTAATAACGGTTTCTTTATTTGGAGTTGGTGCAAAATTTAAACCTTTGCTTAGAAGGGCTAACTCATGGTTGGCAACTCTCTCAAGTGAGAGTAAAAGGAGAACAGATGCAGAAGTGCACGGGAACGCAAAAAGCACTATTTCCTGTAAAAACGTCAGTCGGTTTGTTTAAATGTCA